AAAGGTTTACAAAATTGACTTATTCAACCAACGCTAAAATGTGTGTGGAATTTTTTTTAAAGTAGCTTTTAATGGGTTTTTCTTGACTAGGACTGAATAACGAGGCTTTTAGTATTTGTTTATGTACAGCATGTGAGAAGAAGAGTGTTTCTGTTGCATTTGTAGAGAAAGTGAGAAGCTGTGGTATTAAAATTGAGAGAAGATAAAGAGATGATAAGAAATTAATTTGTGGGACATCATTTGAAGGGATTAAAAGATCATAATTTTAATATGTTGTTTCTGGTAGCTGGTTTCTGGTAACAAGAAATTATTTTACTTGTTTAAAGTGTGTGTGTGTGTGAGTGTGTGTGTATATGAGGAAGATAGGCAGTTTTTAAATTGGATAAATAAACACTGTTATTTCTAGTGTTCTTAATGGAGTTTTGCTGAATAAGATTGAATGATTAGGCTTTATTATTTTGCTAATAGATAAAAGATGGGATGAAGAGATGAGATGAAGTTGAAATACTAGAGAAAGTGTTTGTACTTGTCTTGATGAAGATGGAAGTCATTTCTTTCTATAATTTTTCTTTGGTTTTAATATATTTTTATGTATATTAATTTGTCACATATTAATTTGAAAATAGTTGCAACTGCAAATGATTCTGTATGTGTGCTTAAACAGATAATTATGTTTGTAGCAGTCAGGGTTTTTATACATAACATTTCCAATATTAATTCTGGATCACCTTTTACTTTATCAAATTGATTATTCCAATTAGTATTGCTATTGCTGTTTCTGAATATTGTAAGTAATAGAATATTTGCATTTAGCCATGAAGAAAAGTGGTAATAGCACACTAAAATTAATGAAAGTGGAAACCAATTATCATAAATAGTAGAATATAAAATGTATTACAGTTAAAAAATAAAATATATGTTTATAAAAACTTACTATAAACTTCTAATGTGCAGCTTAATGAGTTATCCTGCATCCAGTTTTTTTCAGCCTTTCCAGGTAAATCAGACACGAAACACAACCAGATGAGTTAATTTTACATCATTTTAAGCTTATATTGAAAGAATCTTATGTCTGAAAGCACAAAACTCCTGCTATTTTCTTTATACTCCAAGAAAAAAGGGAGGATCCTTTCTGAATCTCTTCCTCTGTCTATTATCCAGCTGCAGGGTATGCCCTCTCTTATCTGACTATTCCCTAGTCAACATCTCTTCGCCCCTTCTCCCAAGGTCTTTCCCACATACCATGGTCCATGACAGTGTAGGGGTTTTTTTAAATGCAAAAGATACAGTGTAGCTTACTGTTGCAATTAGGGTGGATATCATTTAAATCATGATTTAAATCACTAGTAAAAAGGCTTGATATAAATCAACTCAATTTATATCATAATTTTTAAAGAGCAACTGTCATCTCTCTCCTATAGCGGCTCTGCCTCTGATCCACTGTTGACTCACCGAGAGTCCCATTCACTTTAATGGGACGGCTGGTGATGCTGCAGTGAGCCAACAATGTGAGAGACATGGCGGGCAGCAAGTGAATAGGTGCCTGCTAACAGGCACTGCTATGATGGAACTGAAATGACAGCTGCTCTTTAAATGTAAGGACTCATTCTTGCTGGTAATTAGAATCTTTAATATTATTATTTGCAAACAAGATGCATGTTTCCTATTTAGCTTGCAGAGCTTGGATTCCTTGAATGAGTTTACCAAAACTGTAAATATTTCAGAATATACAACCTCATGCTATAGAACTAAGCTCCATTTCATGCTGAATAAACTAAATTATTAATGTATCTTAAATAAAAACTATCTTTAGATAGATTTTTACTCCAAAAGCATTTTATTAAAATAAATGTTATACAAATTAAAAAATCTGATTTAACATTTTAAAAAATCTGATTTAATTTTTAAAAAATCTGATTTAATTTTTAAAAAATCTGATTTAATTTTTAAAAAATCTGATTTAATTTTTTTAAAAAATCTGATTTTTTTGATATTTTTTTTAAAAAATCATTGATTTTTATTCACCCTGGTTACAATGTGTTTCACTTCATATAGCAAGAATTTTCAAACACTGGGTGGCAATCACAAGGAACACAAACAATTTTGAGGAGATAAAACTGGCTAAACATGGATATGTTATCTTTTTGTCAAGCCATTGCCTTTGTGCTCACAGTAACAGCCCAAATCCATTCCTGTGCAACCCCCAGGACTATGAAGCTTTCCCCTCACCTTACTTTTCCCCTTCTCCATCAATGGTGACATGTACTTCTGATTCTTGTTGTGGTTCCAGACTGGGGAAGAGAGAAAGTCTTGGATTAGTGGCATAGGGTATGGGATTGTGTTTGGAACAGAAGATTTGCTTGTTTGTCCATGATTTTAATTGTGTTAATTATAATGGGTGTTTTTAAAAATTGTTCTAGGCTTCTTAGAGTGTGTACATAAACAAAAAGATGAGGACCTACAGTCAATAATAAAAAAATATTTAGAGGATGGATTAACAGGACCTCAAGGTACAGTTTTATAAATGGACTTGTGAGAAAGTAGGAGAGGATACAATGAGGGAAGCTAATGAGAGGAGAAAATATTACTATTTGTTATGTTTCATTATATTACTAAGATATTAAAAAGTGCCTCAGGCATATAGAAGCTGTTTTTAAGCTAGTGCATTCTAAGTCTGTTATGCAGCTCCCCTCCCTCTTTTCCCACTAGTTATCAGTATCAAATAAATGGTTTTTTTTCAGCCTCTATGAAGCATGCAATTCCCTGTCTGATTTCAGTTTTAAAAGTTTTTAGTAATGCATTTATGTTAATTATGGAGTATTTTCATCTCATCTCCTAACAAAAAGCTATGGCTGTAGAAAAGTATTATGGCAATATAATTAAAATTCTTTTAACAGGAACACTGTAATAGACATCTTGCCATGCTTATGTTATTTTAATTGGATGTTTAGCTCTAGGGAAGTTTATAAGTTATTATAAAATTTTAATGTTAATAAAATTAGCTAAGAGGAAATTGCTCTTAATTTTATTGATTATGCATTAAAGACTAAGGCCTTATTTTATTGGATCTAACAATAAAAATAGTTTAGTAAAATAGCAAGGAACACTGTCTGAGATATTATCAGGGGCAAAAAAATAAGTCCACACCCAAAGATTCAATTAAGCTAATTCATTTCTAAAAGCCTATGCACAGGAATATTCTTAACTAATAGTCAGCATTTGATTAGTGTTAGATAAGGGTCAACGGCACTCAAGGGGAAGTTGGTTTAGTTTGCTTGCAGCTATGTAGGAATTCTAGGCTGATCCCCTTTTCACTCCCATCTCCAGGTTCTGCTATTCCTTCTACTACAGATATTATTTAAAGCAGGTACTTGTTCTTCCAAATAGTGCGCTAATTAGCATGACACTAGTTTGTCTGAATTAGCTCTGAATTAATCCAGTATAGTACAGCAGATATTTCCGCCACAGTTATCAACCTGTAAGTTGCCTATCCTCGGACCAATGAAATGTAATAATGATACATTTAGGCAGATTCAATTTACTGCTTTCATCAACTATGTTATATGTATTTTCTGTAATACAAATATTTCACTAGTCCTAAATATGCTGTCTCTAAGATACACAAGGGAAAAAATATGAAGGGTGGTGATGGCTTTTTTATGGGGTATTCTGGGCAACTTTATGGTTGGATTTTACTCTGCACATTGGAATAAAATGGCATCTCAGTTGATAAATATGAAAAATAATTAAAAACTTTTCTAGGTTAAATACTCTTATTTATGACTTTTACTTTAATATTGATTAAAAATGTAGGAAGCTTTTCAGTGAGCTGTATAGTTTTACTTTTCTGTTCACTGCCTATGTTATTTATATTACTACTATTATGAACTATTATAAACAATTTCCTGTCAGAATTTTTTTTCTGGTTTGTTTTAATTTTAGTTCTCCATGTAATTTTAGGAAAATATCTTATTATCAGAAACAAAATATGAGGCATTCTTCTGAATATCTTGACTATAAACACTTACAATTTTTAAAAACAGATTGAAGTTACAAATTATTTTGTTTTCAAAGTATTCACTTGATTGAATATTCGCCTTAGAGCAGATGGACAATTTCTACCATTGACCATATTTAAAAGTGTATACTCTTTTTAAACTTCTGATATATCTTTAATTTCTTTGTAACTAAATTTATAGTGCTAACATATACTCACATTCCTCATAGGAATGTTCAAAATATGTTCCTACACTTCTGAGGTTTTTGAACCAATCCATCTACAAATGTAATATTATTTTGGTTGTCTACTCTCTGAAATTCAAGCATTTTTATCAAGATTTACATATGATCTAGAACAGGGGTGTTAAACCCACATTGTCATGGCGGTGTCACATGATGTATTGGGATTTTTTTTCCCTTCGCTAAACCAGGCATGAGCATGGCCAGTGTGTGATATATCTGGTCAATGGGCCAGGAGTTTGACAGTTCTAATCTAGAACTTAATGAATCAAGTCCGCTATATCACCAGGTGACGTCTGTCTCTTCTGTCCCAATGAAGCATGTGATTTCATTAAAAAAATGTAGGAATGTGTTTAGATTAATTATGTTGTATATTCATCTCATCTCCTATGCTATAAACTCCATAATGGATATATTTATGCTTGAAAGTTAAATTGACATGGTTTAGTTAATAGCTCCCTGATACCTAATGCTATTCTATTTTTTCCTAGATGCAGCAATTGTTCCATGAAAACTATGAACGCAACCGGAAAGGTTACATACAGGATCTTCACAACAGCAAAATTCACACTGCAATTACGCTTCATCCAAATAAAAGGCCAGCCTATCAGTATAGGCTTCATAACTACATATTGACCCGTAAAATTTCAGAATTGCGTTACCGCACCATCCAGCTCCATAGAGAAAGTGCTCTCATGAGTAAGCTCGGTAATGATGAAATAAGCAAAGAAGATCAGCTTCTGGGAATGACGCCGTCGTTCAGTCGTTTCCAGCCCCGTGACAGGAATGAAGTCATTGAATGGGATTTTCTGACTGGAAAGCTCCTTTATTCAATAGCTGAGAATCAGCCACCTAGACAAAACATTAATAACATCCAGCGAGCAGCATTAGATGACACTGTAATGCAGGTAATGGAAATAATCAATGAGAACTCTAAATCTAGAGGAAGGCTTATTGACTTCAATGAAATACAGTATGGATACCGCAGGGTTGACCCTCTGCACGGTGTAGAGTATATTCTGGATTTGCTGCTTTTATATAAAAGGCACAAAGGAAGAAAGGTCACTGTTCCAGTTCGGAGACATGCTTACCTTCAACAATTATTTAGTAAGCCTTTTTTCAGAGAGGAAGAAGAACTGGATGTGAGAAGTGTGATGGAAAATGAGCCGAGTGACACACAATCCCTCTCTCTCCTTTCTAATTCTCTGAAGATGTTCTCGCCATTTAAAGACACCAAAGAATTAAGGGAAAGCAATACCAAGAAGATACACATTCTTGTCCCTCTCACAGGAAGATACAATATTTTCTTGAGATTTATGGAGAATTTTGAAAAGACTTGCCTTGTTACAAAGCAGAACGTGCGGCTGGCGGTTATTCTCTTTAGCCCAGATTCTAGTCAGGAGTCCAGTAAACATATAGAATTGATCAATGCATATCGCAATAAGTATCCAATGGCAGACATCACTGTTATTCCTATGTCAGGAGCTTTTTCAAGAGGTTTGGGTCTTGAAACGGCTTCCTCTCGGTTTGATAATGATACGTTGCTACTATTCTGTGATGTTGACCTAATATTTACTCCTGACTTTCTTCAGCGGTGTCGAGCTAATACCATCCAAGGAGAACAAGTTTACTACCCTATTATTTTCAGCCAGTATGACCCCAAAGTAACCTATGGAGGCCATCCTCCTGTGGACAGTTATTTTGTTTTCACTAAGAAAACAGGGTTTTGGAGAGATTATGGGTTTGGTATCACTTGCATTTATAAAAGTGATCTTATAAATGTAGGCGGATTTGATACTTCAATTCAAGGTTGGGGACTCGAGGATGTAGACCTTTTTTCTAAAGTAGTAACTTCTGGCTTGAAGGCATTTAGAAGCCAAGAAGTGGGAGTTGTGCATGTGTTCCATCCAGTTCATTGTGATCCCAGTCTAGAGTCTAAACAATACAAGATGTGCTTGGGGTCTAAAGCAAGTACATTTGGCTCTGCAATGCAGCTAGCTGAAATATGGCTAGAAAAGCATTTAGGTCTTAGGTATAATCATACTTTCTCCTGATATTTTAACTGGGACTGGCTTCCTAGGAGAAGTTTACCTCATTGCTTTTCCATTTCATCATTGCATTCTTAAACTTCTCTCTGTCTTCCAAAGGATTTGTCTCTGACCTTTAACAAACTTCTATTAGGAATATTGGAGACTCCTGCTGAACTGATGTGTCTTTCTGTTCGTGATCCGTAAACTGAGTGAAATCATTGCAACAGGACAGTTGCACAGATAACATCCATCACTAGGATCACATCAGAAGAATAGTCTCTTTGGACTTCAGGATGCAATATTAATCTTGATTGTGTCTGTCAAACTTAATGTGATACAAATATTTTTCAGTGAAGGTATCACAAAAGTGCTTTATGCTTCCTCTGGGAAAGAGACTCTGGCAAACTTGAGTTTTATAATTTATATGAGGACTGAAATAAAAACTATTCTTTATAATTTTTAAGTAATAAATAATGGACTCATCTATTTTTTAAAATAAGGGAAAAATACATTTTCCAGGTGCAATGGTACTGGCTACCAAGACCCTTAAACAGCATATCAAATTGACCTCTTCGGTACTCTGCAAATGGACTGTATTTTTTTTTCGAGAAAACATTAATCAGATATTTGCATATGTTGAAAAGGTTACAAATCAATCACTTTCATTTGCTGGTAAGAAGAAATCATGACACAATATGATTATTTATAATAAAGAATAGGCATGTGATCTTGTGTTTTCTAAGACAAGAATATTTTGCTTTGTTTCTGTTTAGATTGAACGTCTAATATATACATAGTTTTCTAATTCCTTTCATAAGACTGCACTTGTTACAAAGGGAAATCAAAGGGTACTTAATATTGTCTTTTTATAATTCTGTGTTAATATTCATATTATGAATCAATTGTTGTTAAACTTTAAAGAAAATGTAATTATTTAACTATGAAAGTACTATTGCTGGTCAAAGTTCTTGCAAATATATTTATAATAGTGAAGATATATAGAAAGTGGAATGTGTTAGGGTTTCCTTCTCTGTAAAATCCAAAAATTCCAGAAAATATATTATGGATAGTAAAAAAAATTGGATGGTTATGTTCTGTTAAAATGAACACAAACCATAACCGTATCATCATTCATATAGTGATTTGATCAAATTTATGACATGTAACTGTAACATTTTTTTTTGAAAACCTGAAACATTCCCAAGAAATATATGTTAATCCTGATGACCAATATAATGTGATCAACTTTAAAGAACAAAGCAAGCATCTCTAAATAAATAATATCTGGTATTTTTAAGAAAAGGTGCTAAAATGTATATGTTATAATGGCCACGATAGAATCTGAACATATTGCCTGAAACATCTAATGGAATCCGCAATTCTCACAGTTTAATTGGCAGCATGCTCACTTTGGCAGTATATATACTAAACTAAATTGGGAAAGAACAAGAGATAGGTATTCTGAATAAGAAATACTTGTATCTTATTCAATTTTCTTTTACAAATAACAAGAATAACCATGGCAACCATGGTAACCCTGTTTCAGAATTAAGATTTTATTAACCTAGATTAAGTACAGTAAGAAATACATATTTAGTGATGAACTCAATAGGTTTAGAAATTCAGCACAAAGCAACAGTCTTTTGACCATTACACCAAAGATTCTTCCTAGATGTTATTTTTCTTTTGTATATTCCTTTTTTTCACAGCATGTTACGCTAGTATTTTCTTGTGACAGTGGTAATTTCTCTCATTTAGATATGACTCCCAGCAGTGTTCCAATTCTGTATGCCACATTTATACACAGGTATAATTTCATGTCACACCTATGTATGCATGTAAAAATCCTACTGCTGTATAATTAGTCCTGATTCAAAATTATATACCGCAAATTTTTCCCAGATCAATTGCAATTAGCATATTTTATTTTTATGATTGGGTATTCTACGGTACCAACCTTAGTTGTTCTCTTTCTAGCTTCATTGCATATCTGCTGTAGCAAGTTAGCTACTATTTTTAGTTGGCCCATTACCTAATATTTAATGTATATGTAAGATGAAGTTTGCATATATTCTCATATTCATAATTAGCATATGGAATATCAAAACTATAATAAGAATTTAGAGAGTCAATTTGGTGTAATGGTTAAAGGTGCAAGATTAGAAGCTAGGAAACTGTGAGTTTTCGTCTTGCCATAGGTACAAAGTCAGCTGGGTGACTTTGGGTCAGTTTTCTCTCTCAACCTTAGAAATAAGGCAGTGGCAAACTATTTCCAAAAATATTGCCAAGAAAATAATGTGGTTGCCATGAGTCAAACCTGACTCATAAGTCAAATAATTAAGTATACATGAGGTGTGCAAAATAACCAACAACCTATTTTATCTTCACAAATGAGGTACTAGGTTATCTTATAAGATAGAGTACAGGCAAGCAGATTTTAAGGTAAACAAATAATTTGGAGTGTTGATATTACCTATGGCAACTCCTTAAAATGTACCTCCAGAACTTCTCTGTCAAGCACTGTGGAAATCAGAATATCCAAGCAATTCAAATGAGTTTAAAGATTTATTTCAAGTTTATGCTGTCTACAAAACAGCCAAGCTGTCAAGGAATTCAGTGGAATTCAAGGTAGGCTGGAATTAGTTCTCTTGTGGGCACGAAGAAACTCATAACTAATAATGCCTTTGACCCCCTACGTCAGGCTCAGCCTGATCATCTTCTACAACCATATTCCCAACAAAAATGGCTGCTTTAAAAAGTTGCAAGTAGTTGCTATGCTTGTACCTTAGCATACTCCAAAACATCTTTTTCCCATCAAATCCAGAATACTGCCTAGACCTATCAGGTTAAAGAATACTTATTACTTTGGGACTTAGAAAGACTAATGAAAATTTAAAAAATTCTGTCTGAATTTGTTTTGTAGTTATAGAGTGACATGCACAACTACTTGTGAAAACCAAAACCTTGTTCCCCAAAATGTGTATTCTTACTACATTGTCATATTGTAATTTCCTTTTCTATATAATTTTTTTCCTTTATCTGTTGTTTGGAACACAGATATTTCTTGTTAACTTGAAGTTATTAAAATGTCAATTAACTGTATTTGAAGAAGTTAAGCTCTCCCTGGTAATTTCAAATGCAAAAAATCATGAGAGTTTACCTTAACTCCTTGATAAAAATGTTGAATATTTGTCCATAGCCTTAAAGTAACATGGTTTGCTCAGACAAAATTTCAACATAAAGCATGAACTGAACTTGATGACTGTACAGGGAATTCTGTGTAAAAAAGGACTTGCCGGATCGGGTCCTGAACTGAAAAAAAATATGAAATGTCAATTCTTATTCTTTAGAGATATTTATTTAGTGTATGACCAATTCATTTGTTTACATGATGGATTACTTTGTTGTAAACTGGATTATAAATGTTTGTTATAAAATATTGTGTTGTCTTTGGAATAACTGTTCTCATATAAATTGTGTTAGTTGATTTGTGGCAGGAGTACCATTTTAATGATGACATAATCATAATGAATGCAATTTTGCTGTGTTCGAGTGAGCAGGAACAGTGCAAAGGAACTCACTGGTGTTTATTCTGGATTATCAAAGTGCCTTACAAGTACACTCCCAATGAATTATACTCACTGTTAAAACATTTTACAAAACAGATCAAATAATGTATCTTTCTCCCTCTCCCTTTTCAAACAGATAGGAAGAAATGAGATTTGTTCCTTTTTCTTCTTCAAACATGACTGTGCCATCAAACCAATCAAAAAGCCATACACACTCACGGCTTAGTCACACTTAGTCACACTCCAGACCATTTGGCCAAGGAATCCTATCAAACTAACCCCATTACTGCCCAAATGTTGCTGAAATAGTTCAGATGGTAAGTTTTACATACATACATATACATACATACATACATACGTATGTATGTATGTATGTATGTATGTTCATCATATGGCCAGCATGAAAATATAGAATGCAATCATCTTCCCACCAAAGCGGTACCTATTTATCTAGTTGTGTTTGCATGTTTTCAAATGCTGTGTTTGCAACAGCTGGGCCAAGTAATGGGAGCTCACCAGGGGTGGGCTTCATAAATTTCAGCAACAGGTTCTCTGCCAGTTGTTGGGTGGGCATGGCCATGGTGGGTGTGGCCTAGTCGGCCTGCACCATGGTGGGGGGGGTTAATTTTTGCCTTCCCCAGGCTGCAGAGGCTTTCCTCGAGCCTCTGGGAGGGGAAAAACTGCCTCCTCTGGCGCCCTTCAGAGGCTGCAAACAGGTCCATTTGCAGCCTTCCGGAACTTCCAGGAGATGCATTTTCCCCCTCCCTGAGCCTTCGCATGGGTCCTGCACTTACCTCGCATCCAATATGGGTCACGTGGAGACTCCTGGGAGGGGTTGGTGGGTGGGGCCAGCCAGGGATTTGGAGGTTCTCCAAACCGATCATAACATTAGCTACGGGTTCTCCCAAACCCGGGTGAACCCATAGCTCATCTGGAGCTCATCTCATTATGCAATACTCAAGTCTCAGGACCAGGCTACCAGCTTTCCAGCTCAGAAGCTGAGCATCTTAACTGCTGAGCCATCATGATCCCTCAGGGTAACATAAAATAACATAACCTACTTTTAATCAGGACAGCACTTCTCATTTTACATAAAAGCAAACGCCCAAATTAAATAAGGAGATGTCCCCTACCCCCTTTTGCTAAGACTTCCTTTTCCATAATCCTCTCGTTAACAAAATTCCATGATTCATTCTTCCACTATGGCATTCCAGGTTTTTTCTTACTTTGTGGCTTATATCCCTTCCTCTTTACCACATTTTTTTTAAAAAAAAAACATATATTTCTGGTCTTGGCTTAAAGGTATCTGCTTTGCTGAACAGTTTCTTGTTTTGTTGCTGATAGTTTCCAGTTGCCTACCACAATAGTTGAGCAGTCTCATGAAGGTTATTACTTTATTTGCTTCCTTCCCTGGCTCAGTCAGCAATCCCTTTAAATCAGGGAATTCCAAAACCAATCCTTTCTCGGTTTCAGAAATAAATGTTGTCAGATAAGGCTTAGTTCCAGCACAGAAAAACATCATCACGATTAGGTTATTTTCAGTAGGGTGGAATTTTTAATAACATGACTACTGGTTTAATAATTGTAAATTCAACTTTGCTGGGTTGGAATGCATTAGTTCTGTGTTATTTTAAAGACCGCACCATTTCTATATTAAAATCTGTAGGTTTTTTTTCAATGTATTCTAATGTTCATCTCTAATATAAATATTAATATTTTAATCAATTTAATCAAAATTGCCAAATTATGAATTTATTTTCCAATAAACTATTTTAAAAATGAATTTTAAAAGGTCCAGTGTAGTAGTTAAAGCATTCGGCTAGAACCATGCATTCTAGTCCTGATTTAGGCCCCAAGCCAGCTGGATGATCCTTGGATCAGTAATGTCTATCACCCTTAGGAATAAGACCACTACAAATTTATATGTACACACACACAATTTTATTAAGAATTTTGATTATAATAGTAAAATCTAATATATATTTAAAAAGAATAGAAAGAAGTAGAATGTGCAAGAAAAAATAAAAAAATAAAATAATAAAATAAAGGGAAAAATAAATAAAGTGAATTCCAATCTATCACACAAGTTTAAATAAATTTAAGAGACTCTTTAACTCCTTTAATCTTATAAACATGTCTTCATTTCATATCTTATCTCTTATCCATAAACAAATCCATAAAACACAATCTTTTCAGTTTCAGTCAACAGAAAGTCCATAAAGGATAGCCAGAAATAATCAACTTTATATTACTTCCTTTTGTTTCAAACAGTCTTACTCTTTAGTTCATTCAGATGTTGCAATATTTCATTTACTTTCATTTAGTTTGCATTTCCCTTTTACATTTTAAAATTTTAGCCCGTTTCTTTTTTAGATCCAGTGAACCATCCCTTTCTAAGCTATTATCTTGGTCTAAATTTGTTCTACAACTGCCATTTCTTCAATAACATCTTTTGGATAGTTTATCCATAGGAGTAATCATTACTAACATTATTGATATTGTGGGTATTATTCTTCAAAAGTCTCCTTCGGTATTTTTATTCTATAAACTTTAACAACATTTTATAGACTTGTAAAACTTTTCTAAAAGCTTTAGTTATCTTTTGTGTCCGGCTTTTGAAATTGCTCATCTTTATCTTGCCTTGCAAAAATCAAAGCAAGAACTATTTCCCACAAAAAGCTGTTTGTTCTTTATAATTAATTCAAAAATCTTAAATGTAAATATTTCAATACTTCAGTTTTATCTGGACCCTTACTTCATTTATGATTTTCTAAGATGAAAAAGCCCCTTGCTGTTTAGTCAAGATTCTTTACATTCTTAAGTTTATGATTAAAATTTTCTTTCATTCACGACTGAAGGCAAACTCTACCCAACATTTCAATTTTGTCATTTTGAAGGACTCTTAAGATCACCAGTTACTTGGTATTTCCCCTAGTCAATGGCTTTGCTTTTATAATGCCCTCTTCAATTTTGCATACCTTCCCAAGAAATGCTTGCAATGGTAAACCTTCCTCCAAACACCTTGTCAAGAAAACTGCAGTGTCCAAACAGTCACTGAGTCCACACTGACTTACATTCACCCCACTCAAATCACAGTTGGAAGAGCTGCCATCCAAAGAGTATCTACAGTCCAAATTGACATGCACAACAAAATCATTACTACACACATCAGAATGTTCAATAATGCTCATGTTTTCCTACCCTGAAGATCAGAGCTATAATGTGAAAGGCTAATAATGATAGAAAAATGTGATTAATTGACAAAACTATAAACATGATATTTAAAGATGATGGGATGCTTTGCTGATGTTTAGAGTGGAATCCTTATCAAGGTATTTGGATCAAGGATGTATCTGATTTTATATAAATACTAGACAACCGATAATCCATGGGATCAACCTTTCAGAGATATTTCTTTATCTAAGCAGGGAAATGGAATAGCTACGAATAGACTGTTACGGCTGTAGAATTACTGTTGGGGAGGAAAACAGCTGAGGTGTGGCAATCCATTCTGCCACGCCTATCAGCTGGGTTTAAAAAAAGGGAATATAGATGAGTATAGTGCAGGGGCGAGCGGGTGGGCCCAGCTGAAAGTCAGAGTGAACCAGTTCGCTCCCAGCTGATAGTCGGAGCTACCGGTTTGCCCGAACCGGTCCAAACCGGTAGAATCCCACCCTTGGGAACAAATAGAACTGAGAACTGCAAGGAAAACTCCATGCTTGCTCCCATTCTGGCACGTCCCTGAGGACCTGCTCCAGAGATGAAAGAAGCCTTACCTAACAGGCATATGTATCAATCTCTCATCCTCGCCTCATCACTTCCAACTCTGTTAATCTGCATTTACCTACCACTATTAAAGAATTTTCATATTTTAGCCTTGGTTCCAAAATAGGCAATCTTCATTCACCTATCAAGCCTTCCCACCATCCGATTAGGTGCAAGAACAGAGGGAGGTGGGCAGTGGTGAAATTCAATTTTTTTACTACCAGTTCTATGGGCATGGCTTGGTGGGCGTGGCAGGGGAAGGATACTGTAAAATCTCCATTCCCACCCCACTCCTGGGGCCAGGCAGAGGTGGTATTTGGCTTGTTCTCCGAACTACTCAAAATTTCCGCTACTCCAGTACCTGTCAGAACATGCTGAATTCACCCATGGAGGTGGGAAATAGTGCAGGAATACTGCCTTCCCTTTTGCAACTCAACCTACAGGTTCCTGGAAAGTACACTTGAAAGGCTCGGGGGCCTTGAATGGCAACAACATCTGCAAATTTCATTTCCCCAGGAACCATGAGTTCCTGTACTCTGTAAGTTAGCTCAATTTTTTTTCTTTGGTTCAATAATAGTTGCCGTATACCTCCCAATTTCACACAACTGAAGGTTATAAATAGAAATGTAAATTTTATTAGTATATAAATAGATACAGAATATAGACATTGATAATGAAACTTAGTGATTATAATGTGAAAGGATTTTTTGCCCAATTATCGGAACTTATTAAAAATTTAATTTGTCAAGTGAAAGGTAGGATACATGAGAGGGAAAATCCTCACGTTTCAAGATATTTCCACTTTTTTCAGAGAAAGTCCAAGAAGTCAATAAATAATTTGAACAGTGTGTTCATTTCTTCTGAAAGGCTGAATTTAACTGGAGAGGGGAAAAAATGGTCGGTCATTCTAATGAATAGCTTGATTATTGCAGTAATATTATTAGCTTCTAAACCATAATGATTTCTTAATGTCTGAGATTTAATGTGGAATTCATAGAACTGGGCATTTATTAGATAAGACTTTAGATTAAAGAAAAGTCTGGGCTTTATTCTATTCTCATGGTAACATGATTTTACTGTATCAGCCACTAACCGATGTCATTAA